CGGCGGCTGGGAGACTCTTCGAGAGACCAAAATCCAATAGACTCACGCCCGGTTTCTGAAACACTGATCATCGTACAAGTTAACTAATCAGCTATCAAATGGCTTTTCAAATGCTATGCTATGTTGCCAAAGGCATGGTTAAACTCTCTTAATTGATCAGAATGATCTTCTTAATGATCAGAATGATCATTTCAAAGAGTTTAACCATCCTTTAGTCAACTAAAATCACTTACATTCGCTTAGCTTGAAGTAATTCTTTGGCCCTTTAATTATAAAACCATAATGTATGGTTTACACCGAGTCAAAGTTTTTAGATATTATGTGGAAAAACGTATTTTAAACATTCTCGATGACACAGGAGACAGTGCATTGAAAATATGATATTTAAAAAGAAAAATTCGATTAATTCAATCAAGTCAAATGTCATCAATAATGTCTAAATATTCAAAAAGAATGTAAAGTCTACAGGTGTCTGAAGCCGAGCCTTTGCTAAGTAAGAGCGAACTTCATATATCTTGATCCCAAACTTAAAATCCATAAACAATTGACTGTAAACCACAAAAAATTATATTTAATTTTTAAAAGCTACGCCGATGGAAAGGGCATAATAGTATAATGTCGAAGAATATATTGAGGACAAGGATGTGTGGAAATAACTCTTGCTCTTCACTTGCAAGTCCCCTGGCTGCTGCTAATTTTGTACTTAGAATAGTTACTTAAAATAGTTTTTTATATATATTTAATTTAAAAAAAGATAACTAGAGCGCAGAGTTACTTGCTAGTTCTTCTCTGGACAGGTCTAGTGTAATGAAGGGATAGTTACATATTGAATAAAGAAATTTTGACTTTGACTTTGATTTTCCACCAGTTTTTTTTTAAATAATTAGAAAAGAAAACATTGAATGAAGTTTCGAGTCGCCTCCAAAGCCTACACAATACTCGATTCGCCCACTGCGGTGTTTTATTGGCCGGTAACCCGATTGTGATATGGGCCTTGTTAATTTCGCAACTTGAGAGCCAAGGCCGGTGTGGCCGATGTTACGTCAATGCTACGCAAACATTTGACTTGACGCCTCGCGTGCTACCGCTAAAAGTCCCCAAATACGTGCGAACAGCCAAATGTTTGGACGATTAACGGCTTACATATGTAAGTGGGAAGTAGAGACCTTCGGTTTTGGGACATAGTGACCTTGTTTTTATGCGAGAACGTGGCAACTGAACTGGCAGGTCCGTCCGGGTTAGTACCACATCCTCACAGAAGACCTGCGTGAAGTAAAGGAGATATGGTGAAGGCAGGTGGTTATCAATTAACATCAGCTGAACCAGCCAGATCGTTTGCCACTTTCTGACATTAAAAAAAAAAGTCAAACCGCCGCCCATGGACATTTGCAACACCCATAGGGTTGCAGATGCATTGCCACCTTTGAATGAAGCGGGCCCCGCCTACCTCACGCAGAAATATAACACTTCCACTTCACCCTGGTCTTCTCTGAAGTCACGGTACTTCCCCGGGTGGACCTGCCCATTTGTGCAACAGCGAAATGTTTTGCGTGGCCCTACTAAAGTCAGGTTTGTTGGCGCTGGCAACACTGTACCGGATATGACGTTATCTACTCGAGCCAAGAGACACATGGTCACATGAAGCAGTGGTCACTTGAATTTCGGCCGCGTTCACGGACGGTGATATAACCACTAGTGCTGCTTATCGTTATAATAGTTGTTAATATTAAAGTTCAGTAATAGTTAGAATAGTAGGATCAAGGTAAAAACGTTAGAACTCATAAAAGATAAAGGTTATTTTATGCAATTATGAATTTCAGGTTTGACATACTGCTATTTTCTTATTGTCTATTTTATTACTCTCTAACTGACTTTTACAACTAACTGACGTTTACAATAATGGGAAGTTGTAATCTAATAACTTTTATGACAGGTCACGGTCCGTTATTACGAGTACAAATCTCGATAGCGAACATGAAAATGGTAACAAGTCAAATTTTTATTAACGAAAACAAAACCGACTTAAAATATTTTTTTTCTTTTTTTTTTCCTTCCTATTAAAAACATTGCCCTTACTTTAGGATAACATTATCCTGTATTGCAAGGACGTTTTACAAACATAAATTCCACGTGGACAAACATCCAGATACGAAACAACTATCTGTGGGTCACACAAATAGTTGTCCCGTGTGGGAATCGAACCCACGACCCCCGACGCCGAAGCCAATGCCTTGACGACTGCGCCACGGAGTCAAATATATCGCTCTGTATTCATTTTATAATCGATTTTCGGGATTACCCTACGTATCTCCGGAGCCCAAGACACAATACCAATGAATTTGATCTGGGACCACACGGGAAGTACCAGCTTTCAAATAAAAAAATAATCATCAAAATTGGTTTACTCCGTCGAAAGTTCTGAGGTAGCAAACATAAAAAAAATACCGTCGAATTGAGAACTTCCTCCTTTTTTGAAGCAGATTGAAAATATTTTAGGTTAAAAGACTCTCTTTAAGTTTAGTTTAAGTAAGCCTTAATTAAAAAAAGCATTAGTTGGAAAACCAGACGTCTATACCGATAAAAGAAGAAAGTTTGCTGTTAATTAGAAAATTATTATGTAACCTGTATTGTCAAACCTAATATATAGCTTCGATAGTCTGGGTTGACTACGGTATTAGTACATAAAACACCTCATTGATTAATTATTTACATTGTTTAAGATTTGGTATAGCATTTGAGTGCTAATTATAGCAAACGATAACTCATTAGTTGTTACATAACTTTAAGGTTTTTTAATGCCCAGTACTGAACATATAGTTCATAGTAACAAATAGTAGATACACATCCCCAGAAAGTTATTATTGAATCTAAAAGTTACTTCATGAAATTCTCATTAATTAATCGAATTATTTCAAAACTTTATCACTTTTATAAAAAGCTCATTTTGAGTTTGAATTATACTATAAATAATAAAATGCACGAAGAATAAATTATTTCTACTATATTCTGTTCCGTGATTTTAGGAGTTTGTATTATGTAGGGATAACAAACACCAATTTGTTTTAATCATATATATTTATTAATATCAATTATTTAATAATAAAAGGGCAGTACAACACAATCATTTGTAGTATTTTTGTAGTAATCGACAAAAGAAACTCGGTTATTATTATAATCACTATTAAGATGTATTCAACACAGATTTGTGTGATTTTTTCAGAATCAGTAATATTCAAAGTTTACCTGAATTTGTACTTCTCATACACTAAACAAGACAATAAGTTTATCTAAGCAATAAATATCGAATAAAATATTTTAACTTAATTAACTAACACAATATTTCTCCTCATTTTAAAGTACTTTTTAACAAAATCTCCCATTGAGGATACAGTCTAGATAATGATAAACAAAATAAGTTGTAATATATCAAAATAACATATAACGAATGCTCACCATTTTTATAAGTTTATTAAAAATTGACAACTACATTTTATACACGATTAATATAAGTATGGGCAAAAGTCAATAACCATAACCAAAACCTTCGAATATATTTCAAGTACATTGTAAATGTATAAATAATTTTAAAATAGTTATTAAAAATTGCTTGTATAGTTTAGTAAAAGGTAAATATCCCACCGAAAGTATTGGGAGTAAAATACAATAGTAAAAAAGTAAAAGATTTGGTTTGAGCACGAGTATCATCTTCTATTATTTTGGTCTCTCCTTCTCTTTTTTAGTACTTTGGTCTTTTTCGGAACACAGAAATAATGTATTTCGTAACGGTAAGGTCTATCAATAGCTCTGGTATTCTTATAATTCTGCTATTATATAATTAGACTTGAGCTTAACTAAAAATACGACTTATTAAAGCTAACCAAATAGGAATAAATTAAAGTTTACTACAGTAAAGATACATGTATTACGATCGAGATATTCATATGTATATATTCGTAACATTAAATTGATTATCTACTATTCGATAGAAGCATAAAATTGATATTAAAGTTTCATCTTCGAAACCAGTAAAACGCGTCCTGTTGCGTGTTCCATTACTATTCCTAACGTCTACCACCTCTAAAAGAATAGTCATCTAATATTTTTTCACAAAATAATCTCTCCACGGCCTCTTTGCAATATTCCAACGTGTAAATATTACGTGCATTGACATACTTTGTAAAAAAATGTTTGAGACAATGCTAAAAGCTTAAAAATACATCGCTTATATAAGTTCTTTAAGGATCGTTATAATCGTATTTATCTAAAACATTATAGTTTGGCAGATATATCATTTAGTTTACAATAATTATTACTCCAGCCGTATGTTTTTAATAGTATTCGGTTAAAATGAATTAGTTGATACCGTCTTGGTATCGCTGATTATTAGGAATGTGGTCAGCTTTTATTATACGATAATTTGTCAGGTAAAGTTATCTAAAACGTCATATTACAATGGAAAGCTGTAGACATCACGGCCAGAATTCTAAAAGTAGATATCGAGAGATAAGTTAAATATTTAATAATTATATCTAAATCGAACATTATAAATCACTCGCTAAGTGGAAGACAATAATAACAGATAGTTAACTTTCGATTAGATTAGACCGATATAACCTTAATTAACTTAACTAACAGCTAACTGAAACCTAACTAATAAATATAGCGCGAGTATTAACGTACATGAACGCGTCGCAACGCACCCAAGAACAAAACCAACAAATGCAAAACCCATTAACGACTAATAAACAAACATATCATACGCAGAGTACACAATAAATACACTTAAAGCGAAATTAAAAGTATGATTACATCGAAAATACTATTTATTGTACGATAGATACTCTTCTTAAGCTACTACGTTAAATAATTGGCACGTTGAATGACAATAAAGATATTTGTGCGTAAAGATCTTCCTCCAAAGCCTGTTTGGTCTCAGCTTAGATGGGGGTTGCCATGCGTTTTGGTTTCCCCACCATCGTCTGAGGTCCTACGTAGGCTTAGGCCTTCGCGTGCTTAGCTTGCTCCTCGGCCTGCATTTTCGTGCGGAGCGCCGGCACATCCTCAGGGATACGTACGATGGTGTGGAATTTCTGAAAGTTCAAATGGCCTTTACATATCAGCGAGAACCAGTCCATAGTGCGATGCTTCTTAAAGAGTTGGAAAGATCTGACCGACAAAATATGGTAAGTTTTCAGGTCTGAAGCGGCAATCCAAGCCGTTCACCAAAATTTTGACTCGTGTTCCGTATGGGAAAAACTGTTTACAAAAAATTTACCCTGATTCAAAACTCTCAGATATCTAAATTTTTCACTGATCGATCGATTTAAATTGATCCTGCTTACTTACCCGGTCTTTCAATGTATGTACACTCATTAACCTCTGAAGAAACCCAATGCCTCTGAACGTCCATTTACATTTTTCAAGTGCGAAGATGGTAAACGAGCTGGCGTTTTGTTTTAAGTGATAACCGCCGCCCATTGATATGCCCATTCATGTAACAGCGAAGACTTGCGTGGTCCTACCACACTTAAGCGCTTAATTAACACCACTTACAGGTGGGACGATAGATAACTACTTGCTAGACTGTGGCAATAAAGAAATCCTGGTAGGGCATACGTAAAGGTAAAGATAGAATGTTAAACCGACCTCCATTCTGGTGCCAGGGGTGACACGCCACAGATATATCATGTAACCGGGGATGCAAAGCATCGATGAGAGTGCCGTGAACCAGCCGAAGGCGTGTGACCACCAGGGATATTCGTAGTTCATGTACTTAATAGGAGTCCACTGCACCAAGTTAAAGATGAACACGCTCTGAAAGTCAAAAGTATTTTAAGCCAAATTCTCGGATCTGTTATTCTCTCGGCAGCATCTATGGTGATCAGAGAAAGTGGCTTCTCTATATGTGTGAGAAGGTAGGTTGCAGAGTAGGCATTCATCTGTTATTACTGATTACAACCTCTCGCGAACATCTATAATAGCAGCAGGGTTAGAATTGCGATACCAGTCTTTAAAAGAGTAAGTCTCGATTATCAGGCTCATAAAACGAAACGCTAAAATATATTACTTCCACTTCATACCGTACTTCCCCATACAAGCCTACTTATGAACGCAGCAGTAGTTGTTACATGTTGCCTTCATTTGCTCTTCAATGTTCCAGCTGATTCGATTAACGCTAATAAACTAGTCAATATATTCAAACGAAGCAGTATTTATAGGATACGCTAGCGTAGTATGTACTTGTGGTTGGCAATTAACTTTCTTGCGGAATTTGCATCATTTTCTTTATGCAGATATTCTGGTAAAAAGAGATTCTTGAACAATGCAGCAATGTTTCGTATACTTATCGTACTCATTTAACCCATGCGGTAATGCATAATTTATATCTCAAATTACGTAAATAAGAAATCAAGTGTTAATGCTAGTGTAAATAGATGAACACGACTTCGTTGCGCAATAACTAAGTACATCTGTTTACTTTATACTTGCTAATTTGAATAACCAACAACGTCTTAAAGTTAAGCCTATATATTCATTCATAACGCTCATACTGTTTCATATGAAATGCTGAATAGAAACTTGTAGATAATCTTAGACAATTCATCAAATAAAATGTCTACAAAAGTGTCATTAATCGATATTTTTTTCATCTAGGTACATATAAATATATAAATCACACATATAAATTGTGGCGTCTGACAACTATATCATACTGAGAACAGAGCCAGCTGTTAAAATGTTATACTTACAATGCAAATGGCAGGCGTGAAGCCAACCCAGCAGAACTTCCACCAAATAGTGGGGTAGTAGCCGATCATTTCCTTAATGCCGTCGTAGAAGCGGTTGACACCGAACGCCCAAGAGATGGAGACACACTCGAAGAATATCAGGAACAACAGGCAGAAACCGGAAACAGCGTATGAGTCGAGGATTTGGAAGACGTACATGCCACCCTGAAAGTAATATATTAATGTGTAATGTAAAACTGATATATTCTCAATAAAACTGCAATACGGATTGACTGATAAACGCTGAATTTAATATCACATTAATGTGTGAATGTTTTCTTATTTTAATTCCAAGCAAATATGCTTAATAAGTCTTGAAGAATAGGTCATTTCGTAATAGTATTATTAATTAATATTATATATTTCATATTAAAACTTTAATCTATTAGGAAAGAGTGTTATTGGAAATTCTATTTGAAAACACGTTGGTTACATCTCATCTCAAAAGTTCAGTAGCATGGGGCAATTTATTAAAGAGAAACTTTTTTATTTCGCCTGAAATCTTTTAATCTATCTATCGCATATCGCATTACGGCCGGCCGCGGAGCAGGTGTAAAGTGAAAAGCGCTTCGTAGAGCAGCCAAGGCCAATATGGCGGCGTCTATGGCTCGTATCAGCTAGGCGTGTAGCATTTATTAGATTTTATAATTAATATTTAACTGAAAATGCCTACGATCCAAAAAAAATCACTTGCAATGAGGTTTCATGAAAACATTTTTTTTTTTCTTAAATAAACATTACAATTTAGAATGATCATCACCTCTGAGATACAAGACAGTCCGACCAAATATGAAATCACGCAAGTGATCGCGATGAAGATTTCCTTGCGCCTCCTCAAAAGCTTAGGCCACTCGTCGATGACGGCGGTGATGAAGCCCTCCATCGTGCAGAACTGGCTGTCCAACCCAATGAGAAGCAGCATGAAGAAGAATAGACAAGACCATAATGGTGCACCGGGAAGTTGGAGTACCGCCGATGGATAAGCCAGGAAAGCTAGGCCGGGACCTAAAAGCAGACAAAAGATGTGTATATTGCTCAAGCAATAATTACATATTAACATACATATTCTTAAAAAAGTATACTTTTTAATGTTACTTGTTTGGTATTTGATATGTACCCAGTTACATATATTATAGTTAGGAACCGCAGTTTCATTAAAATATTCTTTATCTTATCATTCTAATTTTCCTTGCAACTACTAAATAATAATACTAATAAATGTGATTTACTGGGCACTTTTACATATAGTTTAAGCAGAGCCTTGCAATTATTTTAAATGCAATTTACTATATATTCCTTATTTGTTATTTATACATTTATTCTCATTATTTAAAATTTTATTATTCTTCCATCTTTTGCTTGACTTACGTTCTCTACGTTGAGTGGTAGATAATACCTTTAGGCATTAAGCCCGCCCTTTGAAGCTTTTTTAATGTTAGCAGTATAGCATAAATAAATAAAAAATAAAGTGTTCACTTTGGTTTTAAATTGTTTTACCTGAAGCTGCCACTTCCTCTACAGGCCGCTGTTGTTCGTGCGCCATGAAGCCTACCACGGAGAAAATGACGAAGCCAGCGAACATCGATGTACTAGAGTTTACAGTACAGACTATCAGAGCATCCCTGAAACAAAATAGTTGCGTAAAAAGTACACTTTCGAGAAAAAAGACCAGAAAATCAACGGTCATTTGAAAGCACTTTTACAATGCACTTGTCTGTGCCTGACCGTAATTACGTATCAAATACAGGTATTCATTCTTGCTTTTTGCCTGTAGCTCTTTAGCCAATCGGCAAACGCTGATAGTCTCTGCACATAGTAGGACATATAGGCAGTTCACAGAGGGTATTAGAGCATAGTCCACCACGGGACTCCACTGTGGATTGACAGACTTTACATATCTTCGAGGTATTATTCCAAAAATATGAATAAAATTATTTTCTGATGATATTTTCCTTCGCCGTAAATCACGTGATAAATCAGCACTTAAAATTAACAATTTAATTGTTGCCGGAGTATTTTAATTTATAGGCGATGGTCCGGACACTGAACAATCATGGCTTAAAGTCACGAGAGTAAAGAGAAGTAAATTGTGAATATTATTAAGTTTGGCGTACTTGTAAACGTTATTGGTGAATTTATTGTAGCTGCCCAAAGCCACCAAGGTGCCCAAACCGAGACCGTAGGAGAAGAAAATCTGCGTGACGGCATCTATCCATACTTCGGATTCCAGAAGTTTCGACATGTTTGGCATTATGTAGAACTTGATGCCTTCCAATGCACCAGGTAAAGTTATGCCTGGAAATAACAATATCTTCGTGTGTCAAGTCGCCTTCAGTAGCTGAAGAAGTAGAGTTGATTCCCTGAAGTTGATCTTTTTAGCATTAACAACAGAGCTACTACATTTCTATTATATCTATATCGACATTTCTTAAATAACTATATAAGTTAAATTTTATTTTGCACTGACTGTGAAATTCAATTCGTTCCCCATTGCTACACACATATATTGTCCTGTTACAAATGAAATGTTTTCAACGAGTATTGATTCTGATAGTTTTTAATATGATACATTTATAACTACATAAACATACCATTTCATTTTTAAAAAGCAAGAAGGTGTAGCTGCTGGTTTAAAATATCGGTACATAACCTCAAAGGCAAATTGAGGCTCACCTCGGATTAAGAGAACGGTCAGCAAGAAATAAGGGAAGAGGGCGGTGAAATAGACCACTTTGCCGGTCCAACGCACTCCCTTCCAGATGCAGAAGTAGCACAGAACCCAGACGAGCAGAAGAGTCCCGGCGAGCTCCCAGCGAATGTTGCCAATGTTCTCGATGCCGCTCGAAATTTGAAGTGCCCGACGCCTGTTGAGATTCACATCGGTGAAGAAACCATTGATTTTTATTAAGCACAGAGTAAAAGAGTAGAAAAAGGATTTATTTTAAACGAACCAAATCTTAACAAGCTAAAAAGAGAAGGCGGACAAAATTGTCTGAACATAAATGAATGGATAAGTTTACTTCTAGAACTTTCTTGTAATGTAAAAAAAATAAAGTAATGGAGAGAGTTATAAACGGTGTGTCCCTCTTCTATGGCAAAGAAGAACAGCTCCTCTAAATAAAGAGTGCACTATGTTTCTTGGCTGTGATTTTGATAAAGAAGTTTATCCGCTTATATATAATTTTCCACTTTTTTCCTTTTCATGGTCATAAAATTAACATCAGCATTGGTATGGGATATTCAAGTGTTGAGTTGACAAACACACTACAATCATAGTTGACAAACACACTACAATCATAGTTTCTAACTCCTGCTCCTATCCCACCTTTGTGGTATCAGCGCAACATGTGATTCATATTGTCAATGGTATTGGCTATACGACCTGGCAAATAAACACCTAGATTCAAAATAATTATTTATGGATCGCACAAATAGTTTTCCCGTGTTGAAATCGAACCCACGACCATAGGCTTAGCAACTGCATGAGACGCAGTTGCTAATTGTTGCTATTGAATTCTCCTTTTTGTTAAATTTTTAAAAATATGAAAGACCTCAATTGTGAAGCAGAGGAGAGAATTGGATGTGACAGAGGCGTGTGCCTGAATATTACTTAAGAAGCATCGATTTTCCGTCACGGCAAGTTATTAATGGCCTGTCAAATGTAATGGCGAACCAAAAGCAAAACGAGATAGACGTAAATTGAACTCAAGATTTGTTACTTGCTATATTTAACTATTGATTTTTAATTAAAACGTAAAAAGGCAATATTATGAAGCAATGTTTGATTGAAGCTGTTACGTACTACATTTAAAAATCTTACCAACAACAAAGCACGCAATTGATAAATACATGCCTAAGCTATTAACAGGTCATGAGTTTAATATGCCTCTTTATAATTCTTCATTTTCCGAGTTAATTCCAGTGGTGCGGTTGCAAAGCTATTGGCTTCGGCGCCGAGAGTAATGGATTCGATTCCCACGGGAGACATGTACTTGTATGAGCCACAGGTAATTGTTCCGGCTCTGGATGCTTATTTTCAAGGATCGTTGAAATCAGGCACGCGGCAGTTCGTATGATAACACTAAAACACCATTCACGTGTTTTTCTTACCATATAAGTGGGAACAGGGCAGGAGTGCGATTCATAAGAGAAAAGATCAAATATATAAAATTCTCGTGTCACGGTGTTTGTAATTGAACTCCTCCGAAACGGCTTGACCGATTTTCGTGAAATTTTGTGTGCATATCGGCCAGGATAGAGAACCGGATAAAATCTATTTTTCATCCCCTTAAATGTAAAGGGTGGTCCGCCCCAAACATTATTTTCTACCCTACCAATAATTTATGTGGCAAAACTGGGTTTCCTAATCATGGTACCACCCTTGGGATATCTCCTTTCCAACAAAAAAATAATCATCAAAATCGGTTCATAAATGACGAAGTTATTTCCGAACACAAATAAAAATATATACGGTCGAATTGAGAAACCTCCTCCTTTTTGAAGTCGGTTAATAAAAATTGAGCGTCACCATCTAGCCAACATAACTATCCAAACAAAGCACGTTTGATCCGGGATGGATTTTTAGTTTGTTGTAAATGACTACTCACTCCCAGAATTCCTTGACGGGGTCGGAGAGTATGGCCTTGCTGATGTTCTTTCCGTTCAGGGTGCAGAGCGTCGTCATGTCGAAGGAGGACCAGCACGTCAGGTTCTTGCGGTCGTAAGGGTTCACGCAAGTGGCCGTGTTCCAGTAGTTATCGCAAGTCCTCCAGGGCACATCTAAAAATATAGTTGGAAGAAACGTATAGCAATAAAAAAAGGTAAAAGTAAAGTATCAGCCTATACATGTCCCACAACTGGGCAACGGCCTCCTCTGTACAGAGGGTATCAGGGAATAGTCCACCACGCGGCCCTACTGCGGATTGGCGGACTTCACATGTCTTCGAAATACTTTTTCTATTATTATTCGAAAATATTCCGTTTCCTCACGATGTTTTCCTTCACCACTGAGCACGTGATAATCCGGCACTTAAAATTATCAGTTTCGTTGGTGCCGGCACCGGGGATCGAACTCAGGTTGCTCGAGTATATTGAATTAATTGCGAGCGCCCAAACACTGAGCTATCACGGCTCTTATAGTACGTATCTATATATCTACGTATAGTAGTAAAAACATATATACCTTCTCATTTCAGTGCTGCAAGATCTAATGTATCATTTTAGCAATGACATGAACTTTTGTCTGTATTATTAGATAACTGAATTTAATACATTCAAAGTCAAAATTTATTTATTCAAATAGGCTTTTTATTTTTCTTTTTGGACGTCAAAAAACCACCAAGGTTTCACTAACCTAGACCTGTACAAAGAAGAATCGGCACTAAACTTGTTCTAGGCTAAAACTTGGTCTTTTTATCTTTTTTTTTTAAGTTACAAGTAAGTATACAAAATTATTTAGATCAACAGCTAGGAGACTTGCAAGTGCAGAGCAAGAATAATTTCCACACTTCCTTGTCCTCAATCTATTCTTCGACATTATAATAGGCCTTTTCCATTAGGGTAGCTTTTTCAAAATGTTTTTAAATTGTTATACTTAGTTCTTTGTGGATATCACCTATTACCTAATATACACCAATTATCGATATTTACAGGATATTTTCCTCTAAATTTGAAAAAATTAAAACTTATGTTCAAATTATCAAACCTGCTCTCATAGACATGAAGAAGTAGAAGATGGCCCACGCTAGAATCACGATGTAATAAACGTTCATCCAGCAGGACATCACCGCAGCCGCGTACCCAATACCTGAACAGAAATATAATTCAAAATAAAAACCCTACATTGACTCCGTCAAATCAAGAACAAAACATTAAATGCAATCGATAACATTAAGTTTTCGTATTTAAAAAATGTCTCAATATCTTAAAAATTTAAGGATATAATATATACGGTCGAATTCTCGCAACAACATTTTAAATTCATACGAATCTTCTAAGCCTTTGTAAAAGTGTCTTAAGCTGATCCAAAATTTGAATCTCACCCGACCGCGTACGAAGCGTTTTAACGGGCCCTTTTGGCAAACAATGAAGAATGCTATTTGACAACGCAATCCTTCGTAGAATCCAGTGGCTCCCTTTGTGGTGAATTCAGAACGACCGAGCAATTATGCGAATTAATATTCTTGGACGTAAAATTAACGATGGTTAATTTTATATCTGCGCCAAGGTGGGGATATACTTTCAAATAATAGAAAAAAACTGTGAAAATGTATGTATGCACGTAAGAACTAATTCTTCTCATACTTCTTAAGCGTAACAATAGAAAAATAACTAAAAATGTCATCCTCTGTCAGTCCTCTTTTTTTGTGAACAAACCATTAAATGCATGAACATTAGATGCATTAAATGATAACGGTTATAAATTGGAATTATAAGTAAATATCAAAAACTTATAATACCGCGAAAATGGTGGCTTTTCAACGTTTTTAAACGGTTTTATTTACCTCGACCCATACGGAATTTCTTTGTTTATTTATTTGGGTCAAAATTAGAAATTGAAATTTAAGCACCTTGCCGTTGTCAGATTGATCTGAAATTTGGTACACACATTTAATTTAGATGACAATACAATATTAACAAAAAAAAAAAAAACATAAAATAAAACCGTTTAACTTAAAAGTTTTTTAAAGTAATTATTCGGAGGTCGGTATGCGCGCGCATCGTTAAAATTTGAGATTATTGCGTAAAATTATTTTTCTCCAAACGCACCAAAAGAGGTATAACTTCAAAAACCTATCTAGCGAAAAACTCATATATGTTGGATGTTTGTATTTGAGCCATAAATGAAAAATAATTATTTCAATTTATATCTGTCATAGCATAGCATACCATAGCATAACGTTTAAGCGCAATGATGTTAGCATACATTGCAAAGAATTAAAATAGTAAAGTAACAGTCTATACAAGTGTCACAGCTGGGCAAATGCCTCTTCTCTACAGAGAGTATAAGGGCATAGTTTATCAAGCGGCTGAGAACTGCACATGTCTTCGTAATTTGTTTTTTGTTATTATTAGGAAAATATGTTGGTTTCCTCAAGATGTTTTCCCTCACCACTGAGCACGTGATAACTTAAAATTTAACATTGACAATGTGTCTGAGAGTTGAACTCCACTCCGACCGGACACTATATACAAAATGGCATTGCAGTGAACATTTTTATAAACAACATTTGTGACCACTTTTCCTATTAATTATACAGAAAAGCTATAGATATAAAAAAGACTCATACCGGCGGGATATCATGTCGTGGTTAAAAAACGAATACATTTCTATAACAGAATACATAGGGACGAATTCCCGTATCGACTTTTTAAATTAAAACGGGTTTTCGAAGGCGTTTTATGAACAACATTTGTGACCACTTTTCCTGTTAATTTAACAGAAAAGTCATCTCAGCTTTGTGGATATAAAAAAAACGTTACAGGCGTGATTTCATGTCGTGCCGTAGTTCGACTTTATCGAAGTACCGGCGCCGTAATGGAATTCTGATAATCAATAACCATTTCTAAGGTATCGGGAACAAGATGCCGTGCATGTTAAAGAAAATCTATTCGAAGAAACTGGAAGGCAACCATTCCTTCTGATGTGACTGAATAAAATTTGACAGTCAAATAAAAAAAAAAAACATTTCTAATGACGGAATTTTGTTTCATTTAATGCTTAGAAGCTTTGAACGATTTCAGTGATACTAATGATATTATATTTTAATGCCATCTTTTATTTCTAGTTTAACTTATGATGATACTCGTATATAACAGTAAAAATAAATTATATTAAAAATGCAATAAAAGCAACTATTAATTTTTAGCTGAATTATGAACAATATTACATTTTTATTTTGTTCAAAACACATAAATCATTTGTTCTGGATTACCTCAAAACCTTTCACACTCTTATTTTGTGATCATGGTTAATAGTTTATTACGGGTTTGGCTAATAAAAATAAACTCACTAAACCATGAAAAACCATGTTCAATATTTATATAAAACGAAGCTACAAGCTTAGTTATCAATTTTTGTGGTTCCTACATACTACAGAAGTTGACCAAATTTTCACAAACACGATTAATTGAATACATAAATGAGGTGCTTTAACAACGCATAAATGAAAAATCTTCCGAACTTTTAATGTGTTATTCCGTATCTGAGTGTGTTTTGTATCCGTGATCATATGATTCCTAATCCCGTTATAAAGTCGGAGCCTATAAACATGTATCATCATCATCGTCATTTCAACCCTTTAGAGTCCACTGCTGAACATAGACCACCCGCACAGACTTTTTTTTATGTGAAAAGTTGCCAAGCAAACAGATGGTAAGCGAATACCGCCGCACATGGACATCTGCTACAGCCGAGGGTTACAGATGCGTTGACAACCTTTTGAAAATTGGGCTCCGGCTACCACACTCACCAGATGAAACGCAAAAGTATTTTTCATACTTCCACTTTACGCTGGTCTTCTGTGTGGTCGTGGTACTCACCCAGACGGGCCTGCCCATTCGCGCAACAGCCGAGGCAGCCGTGGCTCTACCACCGGAAAAGACTGCCGCGAAGCACTATCCCAAGCCACCTGCATTGATCGACATCCAAGTGCAATAAAGGAAAATTTACCTTTGAATATAGGCGCGATCTTGAACACGCCCAAACCGCCTATCGTCAGCATCTGCCCCATAGCGAGCTCCATGAAGAACATCGGTATGCCGGCGAGGAACAGCGTGAGGAAGTAAGGTATGAGGAACGCGCCGCCGCCGTTCTTGTAGCAGAGGTAGGGGAAACGCCACACGTTGCCCAGCCCAATCGCCAAGCCGATTACGGACAGAATGAAGTCGAGCTTGCTGGCCCACGACCCTCTTTCGGGCAGATCGGACTTCGTAGCCATTTCGCTGCTGACAAAACTCTTTGGTAATATATTGGACACAGACGCTCGCTATTGCCGCCCCGAGTGGTAGTCTAGGATGAGGATTTCACGCTCTATCGGCCATTACCACATCCACACAGCTAAACAAACATGCTCGTCGATTAGGGGCTAGTAACACTCTCTACCAATCAATCACTATGTCTGTCATCACCTTGTTGTTCTTTTCCGCGTTTCAAAACATTCCTAGATTTGAGTGAGGCTTTCGCGTTCATCCTTTCCGCGTTTCCAAACTGTCGAACCATTCCCTTTCAACATTTTTGGCAAAGTTTGTTTTACCTTACACTTCTTACTTATTTTCCCAGTTAGCCACTCTAAATAGATAACATTCAGAACAACTATCCGTGGGTTACACAAATAGTTGTTCCGTGTGGAATATCCCACCCCTAAACCAATGGCTTAGCAACTGTGCCACAGAGTAGGTATGTTGTTACATATGATGTTACATATCGTAAATATGTTGATAATATCCATATTTGACTCTTCATTATAGTGATCATAAATTTGCATATGTAAGTTGCTGGATATAAGCCGAATAAATTTTACTTTGACATGTCTTCAAAACATAAAGCATATACACTCGAGATAGTGAACTAGACACATATGGTATCAAAAGTAAATTCACACACTTTCGTGATTGGTAATATAATAATGTGGAAATAAACATTTATCAATTAAAGGAAATTTATTTTTAAGTCGAATTGTAAATATCAATGTTATTATAAAAATCTTTAAGATGCATGCCAAGCCGTGGGCAAAAGCTAGTTAATAATAGTAGATATATTATACCCAGCATGCAATAACACTGCAAAGTTTCTGTTTCGTATTTTTGCTAGGCGTATAACTACAGGCGCACTATCCGGACCGTTAAAGGTACAAACTTATCAGTTAAAATATATGGTCTAAACGTCAAGCAAATCTATTAAAGAAATTAAAAATGTCATACCTGGGCTTACTTGCTCCCTGGACGCTAAGTTCGATTTCGTCACCACGTGATTCATTTTTTGGATCCATAGCTCCTCCTATTTGTGTCCTCTTCACTCCCTGAAATATATATCCGTCTCCTGTGTATCTCTCTCTTCAGCTATCTGACTTTGCAAACCTCAAAATTTTTCCGAAATATGTTCTAAGGAAACTTTATCAACATTGTTAATAGGTGCTCGAGAAGACTGAATACCGCAACGTTAACCTGTAACAATTAGAATGGGTTAAAGAATTTAAAGTCACTATACCGTATGTCCGTCACAAACATTTTAACAGAGCAAGCGTTGACAACACAAAGACTCAGATTCAAACCTTGTCTATTGTTTTTTTTTTATATTAAAAGTTGTCATGCGAGCTGTCATAGTCCGTCTGATATTAAGTGGATACCACAGCCCATGGATATCTACAGCACCTGAGGGCCTTGCAGATACGTTGACAAACTTTAAAAAGACCACTTTTTACTTCACTCACCAGATAAAAATATAATAACTACACTTCACGCCAATTCTGTGAGGACGTGGTACGACCGCGACTTGCATAAGCAGAAGCAATTGTGTGGCCTTGTTACTGTAGAGCTTGTCATAATACATCACTTGTCTTAAGTCCTTTTACCATAATTGAATCCAAAAAAGAAACGTGTTGTCTGACAGTCAGAATATGTGATTCAACAGTCCGGCCACTTGTGCAACAGTAATCGCTGTTGCACGAATGGCCAGACTCGTCCAAGCACCACGGCCTCACAGAAGACCGGCGTGAAGTGGAAGTATAAACCTTTCGCGTTTCGTCTGGTGGGTGTTATAACCATGGCCAACTTTTTTAACGCGAAGGAAATGTTACGGAGGAGGACAATCTCCGTTGCTTCAATGTATAACAGCATGATTATAGAGTCATTAAAATGTCGTGTCTGTAAAAATACTATGGTGCTATACGCGAAACTTCACGTGGCAAGACGGTAAATTCAATTTCGTTTAAACGCCATGATCGATCAGTTCGAATATGTGTATTTCGCTTCCAGACACCGACACATTTTATTGGAGGACCTCACTAATATTTATGAGAGACGCCTTTTACGACTTGCCCCGGCACACTAAACTGATGCTTGCAAATGAATATGACACTTGAATTATGTTCATTGGTCGAGTTTAGCTGAACTTGAAATATTTTTATTCTCTTTATAGAAATGCCTTGCGCAGTCTCTGTGTGTATCTGATTATGAAACATATCACAGACAAAGTACAACAAAGTATGGAATATAGTTGTATGATGATCACACAAACTTTAGTCCCGTTTCGAAATCGAACCGACAACACAACAAATGAGAGCAACAACGATGTGAGCAGTTTAACTATAACGCCGTTCGTGCATGTGTCTAAGATAAACTACTGAAGTTGGGAAAATCCAAAAATTTGTTCCAGATTTTTATGTAACATAATTTATTATGTAAAATGATATTTAATGACAATTGTTAATGTCTTTATAACGAAACGGTAAGCATGAGTTGAGAGGCCCCTCCTATCTTACCAAAGGCCGACATCAACTATTATCTCAATAGCCAATACTACGAACTATGTATGATGTTGACTTGCAAAGAATATAAAATACACATATCATATAATTCCGTACAATCCTCAGAAAATACCTTAATCAAGTAGATAATACCCTATACGTAGGCATGCAAAAGCAATTGTAGTGGTATAAACATATCGTATAACATTTTTAAACTCTTTAAAACAATAAACAACACAAGTAACGTTTAACCTAGCAGCATATCAGCCATCAATTCCACCGGGTCTAGAACTAGAGACTCTCATTTGATAGTAACTGTCGATAGCTCAATGGGTAAAGCGTCTGGACGCGTAGTCTGGAAGGTAGTTGAATCCGGTGAGCGCCCAAAAAAAATTTGTGCCACTTTTATCTACACATTTTAAATAGTTGCAGAGTTAAATAGTAACTATATAAATCTTTCGTTAAAAGAGTCGTAAGATTATATGAAACCTATATTTCTTTTAAATAGGCTCCTGTTGACCATGGTAAGTGGAATATTGCCTGGATGTTATACTCGGACAGAAGGACAGACGCCGGCAGGTTATTCTACTACTTTACTGTTTGCAAAATGAACAATGAAGCGTCCAACTTAACAACACGTGCGCCAGAAATAGACCAAGTATCATGACGTGATGGTAAATGAATATCAACAAATGAGCACAATCAACGCCACCCAAACACATTATCTTTTTTAGAGGACTTTCAGAAGATTCTTGTTGAACAGTTGACCAATAAAATGGAAACTGCTCGGAAGCAGTGCCTATTTCATTGGTCAAATCAACCTATGTACAGAAATACTGTTCGTGGCAGCGTCGTAAACTGCGACAAAACAAAATACGAACCACTAAGGTAAATCTATAGTATTCTTTTGTCGAATTTCCAATTTAAACAGCGCTTACTTATTTTCTTCTATAATAAAGTATTTTATAATTTCAGGTAAAGTTCCAGCTATTTCAACCGAACAAAACATTCACAAAATGCCTAACCAGCCGTAAGCACAAAATCCACTTACTCCTTGTGTACCTTGTGAACTTGCCCGAACGTAAAATAAAAATATTAACAAAGCTTTTGACAAACACGATTATATTCCTCTCTCAGGATTCCTTACAATGACATCCAGGTGAAAATCCAAAGTCTACTACTGTCTGTCTTCCACATACTACTACTATAAGCCGAAATAACTAACATCACGTTACAGCCCCTATCGTTAGAGAGACGACCCAAAGTCGAGAAGAGATATTTCTTAATTTTTTTTCTTTACCTACAAATGCAAATTGTAGATAATTTGAGGTTCTTAAGAAAGTCGAATACTAGTTGTATTTAGATTTCGCCGCAAATTCTTTCTTAATGGTTATATTATAAGTTCAAACTGTAAACGTAAGTTAAAATAAATGTTTTCACATGACCCCGGGATATTGTAATTTTACTAAACTATCAGAGTATCTGTGGTCCAGCTGCATATTTTTTTTATTTTAAAAATAGGTACATAATATATTATATGATATTACACTTACTACACAATAACGCACGGCCACACACTAAAACAGTAAAGGCACAGAACACACAGAATACATCGTCACTGACACAGCAAGCAGTTCACGAATGATTCCTGAATACGGTTTCGGAACGCTGCGGCGGACGTCAAACACAGGGACAATATGGCGGACGGTTTGACAGATTCGCTCGCGTGCTCTCGCGCCACATGCTTGGACGTGAATGCGACTCCGAACGATATCATGGCAGGATGAAATACATGTGAACCGAGCAACTGTCAGACGTGGAAAGAATTTATGGGCCTATGAACGGCTCGTTGATGGACAATTTGGACCCTCCGGAAGGAGTAGCTGGGGATCGATAGCGGTGCACGCCGCGGTACGCCCGGTTGACATTGTTACGAGTAGCAGTATCTACACGGCCGATGTAAAAACATACTATACTATCGCACTACACTTCAATATCGTGCCGCTAATGCTATCTTTTGCTGTAAGAGAAATATCGATTATAAAGTAAAGCAACTGAGCAATTGCATCAATCAAGGCACCAATAAAATGTTATTGTTCGTTTCGGAAAAATAATATGGATTGACAGTTTTCTATTAACAGCGAACTGTTTTTTTTTTAATATGTTAGAAAGTGACAAGCGAACTGGCGGTTCACCTGATGTTAAGATAACCGCCGCGTTTTAACAAAGTGGGTACCTCACCCTCCAGACGAAACGCAGAAGTTAAACACTTCCACTTCACGCCGGCCTTCTGTGAGGCCTCCGTACTTCTCCGGACGGACCTGCATTCGGTCCGTCCGGACAAATGTGACAGTGAAGACTGTTGCGTGGCCGTGTCACAGTTAAATGTAGTGATGATACAGATGATACAGTCACTTTTTCACTTTTACCAATAACCATTATACTAATGGCAGAAGCGGCTGAGTAGATTAACGCTACACTACACACTACAATAATCCGTAAATCTTAAACGTTTCCATAGACGTTTCCATAAACACTTTCATAGACTACGCCCACATTAATGCCTGACGGAAAGACAGTCTCGAGCAATATGAATAGCTCTACGTCGATAGACTGTTGAGATGCGGCCTGTTTAACAGATTCAGTTTCGACTTTTAGAGCTATATTGGCTTTGGCGTCGGTGGTCGTGGATTCGATTTTCACACAGGACAAGTATTTTAGCGACCCACAGATAATTGTACCGGATCTGGGTGACAGTGATCTGATAACAATTATAAACCAATTAAAAGTAAGAAACAATATAATATAAATGTCATCAATATTAAGACTAAGGTACTGACATAATTAGTTTAAAGAGGCCTAAACCTTTTCACATTTACAGTTTTACAGTCGTTGGGCCACGCAGCAGCTTCTGCTGTTGCAATAATGGGCAGGTATCGTCCGGGGAGGTACCACGGCCTCACAGACGTGAAGTGGAAATGTTAAACTTTTGCGTGTCGTCCGGTGAGTGAGGTAGCCCTGGACCAAGTCTTTGAAAGCGGTCAATAACTGTGTGATCAAGATAAGTTGAGGTGGGTGTACTAATAAATCAAAATAATAAATAACAAGAGAAACGAGTACACAAAAATTAGAGACCACTTGTGTTACCATTAACTTACTATGCAGGATAACTTGACACAACACTAAGCATTTATTTTACCGAGGATATAACCAACGATTCCTGAGGTCTGAAAACATTTATAATCTTCTTTTATAATATAACAATACATACTCTCCCTAGTTTCCCAGCTAAATACGGAGCTTTCGGAAAGGTCGATCCGTTTACTTGTCCATTTGATTTCTTAATAGGATTACTGACACAAAAAACATTTGGACTACAAAGAAATACAAAGATTTGCGCGCCCGATTATTTATCAGTTGGTAATCGAACATTAGACATGGCATAAGATTTTGTTTTTAAAACATTGCCCTTATTTTGGGATAACATTACCCTGTGTTGAAAGGACGTTTAACAAACATTAATTTCACGTGGACAAACACCCAGATACGAAACAACTATATGTTGGTCACACAAATAGATGTCCCGTGTGGGGATCGAACCCACGACCCCCGACGCCGAAGCCAATATCGTGGCAACTGCGCCACGGAGTCATAGTAATAAGTAAAAGTACGGGTTAGTTAAATTAAGAACAGTCTCGAATTTTACAATTCAATTACATAAATTACTTTCTAACTCGCCAATACACGAAGTACAGTAACGCAACTATTTCTCGAATCTGTAGAGAAATTTTTACATTACCTATTTAAGGTCTACACCTTGGCCCTACCATCGTTACGTCTAGTCTACACTAGACGTAACGATGGTAGGGCCACGCAACAGCCTTTGTTTTGCTCGAATGGGCAGGTCCGTCCGTGTAAGTAACACGACCTCACAGAAGATCGGCGTGACGTGAAAGTGTTATACTTTCGTGTTTTGTCAAATGAGTGAGGTGGCCGGAGCCCACTTTTTTGAAAGGTGGCAACGCAACTGCAACCCTGCGGTTGTTCCAAACGCCCATGGGCAGCGGTTATCACTTAACATCAGGCGAACCGCACGCTCGCTTGCCAACTTGTCACATAAAATAAAAAAATAATTTAATCTAGCGAGTTTCTAGACCTAAACGTAGCTTGTGAGTCTCGACCAAGGGTGCAAATGTAACAATGATTTTGACAAAAAATTGTATAAAAAAATTCATCCCATAACAACAAAAATCTAAATACAAATAAATCGAATAGTCATAAAAATTTGTACAAAAAAGTATGAAAACTTTTTCGCCGCCGCATGTGTGAATCGAACCTATCTTTTATTCATCTCTCGACGTTAAGATTTTCTGTGACAATCAGCCGTTTAGCTTAGTGTCTAAAACGTGAGGGCGCGAATCCCGAAGACGTGGGTTCGATTCCCAGAGCGGCGAAAAACTTTTTGTACTTTTTTCTACAAATTAAAATGTTTGAACTTAAGTGCAGATATTAGCACTATAAAAATTTAAATCCAATAGTCAATTATCAAATAGGAAACTAAATCTGATGTTTTTTATATGCTTCAGGCGGTTCACCTGATGTTAAGTGACTACTGTTACTCGGATTCGAAACCGCGATGTAAGTTCGAATAGAGAATAATAGAAAGTCTAACGTCGCAGTCGCTGACTGTATTCTAGACACTAAAAAAAAATCATAAAGTAAAATAAAACCTACGACATTATCAACAACACACTAAATTGCTGACTAACTTATTTATTGTACTACGAATCCATACTTAAGCATGAATACTTTAAAATATGGTGCAGTTGCAAGTTGTAAAATTTCTCTCTTTCATCTCGCAAAATCCACACAACTACGGCACTCCTATTAAAGTAAAGTTATCATGATTAACAGGAAAAACTTGTTTCTGAAACCCTCCTTAAAGTTCATATTATATAAAACTACGACGTTAACAAAACTAAAGTAATAGGCAAAAGTTTAACTTAAAAATAAAGTTCACATAAGGTTTCATTCATACAATCATTCATCAAATATCACATTCAATTAAATAAATGATTCCGAACATATAGAAGTGTTTTAGTCGAAAAACCCCATTCAAATCAAATCTAATCATGTTTACAGAAAGGATTTCACTAACGTGCGCAACTCACGTTTCGCGCCTTCAAGAAGTGTACGCTATCAGCCCCTCCGGCGGCCACCCTGACTCTTTCTGGACTGTGGACAAAGGACGATTCTGAGGCATTCCTGCTACACGCATGCGCACCCAGCATCCGTCCCCACCCTAACATTATCTCCAAATCAACACGCCCCCGCGGTTGAGCGACTGTACACAAACACGTTTCTATGCACCGCTTTGCACATCGCAAATTCAATTCGCTTTAAGGTCAATCCAAGGTCACGCTTCGTTAGAATCGGAATTGTTACAAGCTCCAATGGAGGAACAAGGACGTAACATAAAAGGAAATTAGTGGTGCAAATGCACTGATTAAAAGTCATATACCTATATTGGGAACTGTACTTTTTATATGTCATATATCTGACGGTGGTATGGCCACGCAGCAGCCTCGGCTGTTGCACGAATTGGCAGGCGTGTCCGGGTAAGTATCACGCCCTCACAGAAGACCGGCGTAAAGTGGAAGTATAATACTTTCGCGTTTCTTCTGGTGAATGAGGTAGCCGGAGCCCAATTTTCAAAAGGTTGTCAACGCATCTGCAACCCTCGGGTGTAGCAGATGTCCATGGGCGACGATATTCTCTTAACATCAGGTGAACCGTCTGCTCGCTTGACAACTTTTCACATTAAAAAAAACATAAATCAGAGCGGTCCCTCAAACAAGTAAAAACGTATTGCTCAGACGAGCTTTTACTGAGATTTCTGTAATGCAATATGATTCTTACACTCGGCTGCTTCGTAGAGGTGTAAGTATCGATGGATGCTGGTGGCTCTGAATCGTACTTCGTGGCAGTCTACGGGGACAGTTCAACAGTGGACTCAATCAGGCTGAAATGATAACGATGATAAGACGTGGGCACAGATTATTAATTAAACCCGTTGTAATAATAATTTTTTAATAACCTCAGTAAACTAAACATAATTGGGAAATGTACTTTTTATATGGCTTAACTATTTTTTTTAAGAATAACTCTAAAAAAAGAAAGCAAGCAAGAGAGCAAGTTGGCCTATGTTGAAATTGCTAAAAATATTGTAGCAACTTTTACTATCCTTATTACCTTATAAGCCAACGATAGTCAACATTTTCCGTTCGAGTGCAATCTTAAAAATTGAAGGAAAACATAGAATCCGAGAAATAAGTATTGAGAACATTGACAAGTATTTACAGTACAAATCTGTTTGGAATAATAAGAATAACGTTTTTAATGGTACGATTTGTTCTACAGTAATAATTTATATCATGTACTTATAGAAAAATCATCTCAACCAAGTAAAAAAATGAAATGTGCCAATAAGTATCAAAAATACATAATCCAGAAACCTACCTGGTACCAAGGTGAAGTGAAGAGGAATCCGGTATATAACGTTAACAAAAAAAATGTCATACGTCTGTATGAGTTTTGTTTGCTGGTTGAATTGGAATCGAACCCACGACTGTGCCAACGGAGTCATCGTTGCTATTATGAATTTATACCGCATATTAAAAAAATAACAACAAATAATATAATGGCCCAAAGCGGAGAGCGATGTGCCGAGGGTTGTCGACTTCTGCCGCTAAGGGATGAAAGCCACCCCGAAGGATTTTCCTCCACAGTGTAAATTACAAAACGAAAATAGACTATTACATTACAGAACTTTATCAGACTGCTTTCTTAATCGGATTACCTGAAATACATTGGCGTTGTAGCGTTTGGTGCGTCTTCAGTTGTGAATTCGATTCTCAACGGCATACACCGACGAACTTACATTCTTTTTAAGCGACTTAAAAAAAGTAGGAGGTTTTTAAACAACTTCAAAAAAGAAGAAGGTTTTTAACCGACTTCAAGAAAGAGGGTTTCTCAATTCGACCGTATATATTTTTTATGTGTGTTCGCGGATAACCTCGTCGTTTATGAATCGATTTTGATTCATAAATTCGATTCTTTTTTTGTTGGAAAGGCGATATCCCAAGGGTAGTACCATGATAAGGAAACCCGGATCTGATGATGACATCCCAGAGAATTCGAGGACAATCCTCAAATGTCATAGGCTTTAACAATGTTTCTAGTCTTCGGTTTGAAGTGGTTTTTTTCTTTGCTAAAAATTATTACTTGTTGTGGATTTGCATTCAAATTACAGACGACAAAATTGGCATAGTTTACAATCTTTTTCATTAAAAAACTTGGGGAGGCCGCACGGAGGTAAAATTTCAACGCCAAGTGGTTCCAACATCCTTACATACAATATTGCTATCTATGTATACAATTGATGACCCTATCGGAGTAGTTGTGAACCGGTCTCTTACGCCAGAGGATGTGGGTTCGTACGCTATGTCTGTAAAATGTTATGTGATTAACGTAAGTCCTTAGTGTCTCACATACTTACATAAGAAATGTAGATTTAAACATATTTATCAGTTACCCAGTATCCATAGTACAAGCTTTGCTCAGTTAGGGAGTAGAGTACGTTGTGCAATAATATCTTTGCCACTTTGTCTGTCTCTCTTTTAGTGCTTCATGTGACAGAGATAACCAAATTAGCCGATTGTCCCTTTCCAAAGGTTGATGTGAAATATTTATTGCCGTGTACCTACTATACAAATGTACTTGATTATGAAACTAGAATTGCCCTTGCCTACAGGTTTGTAATTTTGTCAGTTGATCCAGCTATCTGTCTTGTTTATATTATGATCAACTTTTTATATATAATATTATAAAGGATAATAAAAGGATATATATATATATATATATATGTCATTCGAATATGACGGTAAATTTCGCCGCAAAAATAATATTATAATAGCTCGGTAATAGAGCGGCCCCAAAACAGACGGCCGCGGTTCATATCACGACCATTTATTACACACTTATTTTTTTACTTTTTTTTCTATACCAGATCATTGCTTTCTTTATTTTTTATTTTTTGTCGACCCAGATGATTTTGTTATTTTTTTCACATTTTTTTAAAGTTCTTTCTTTTGTGATTTTGTTTGTTCATATTTTCTTATTATTACGTCGGTAAGATCGAAAAATATGCATATTTCATTACTCAGTAATACACAATTACCAAAAAAAACCTAACCTAGGTCCTCCAGGTACTTTAGTCTTAAACGAGGAAAGAGGACCAGCGTTTCTATTGACAAGACATGATTTTTTTATTGCATGAGCCGCCTGTATAATATGTGAAATTAAAGCTTGTCTAGACATAGCACCGTTCATACAGCGCAATGAAGGAAGTTTCAATCAGCTCTTTTGAACATCTGAACTATTTTTCAAACGTTTCGAGGATACTCATATTAACAGAGACAAAAACAGAACGTAATAAATACGCGTTATAAACCAGCTTCTATATGACTCTAACAAGAGTTAGATTGAACAGTATACCCTGAACTTTCATGGTCTTCATTGCCTAAAAAGCATAAAACCGTCTCCGCTAAAGAGGTAAATAGATTTCCAAAATTATCTCTATGTTTACATTCGATTGTAGGTAGATATTTAAAAAGTAACATAATTGGTGAGACCATCTCTAGTAAGTATCTAACCTATAAGTACGCTATGGAGCTGTCGATATTCTGTATCCCCAGCTTGGTTTTATAATAAGAAAAGTTATATCAAATACTAATATAAATAGCTAATAATATTTATTATCGCAATGTTTGAGCTTTAATTCAATATGGCCGCGGTTCACCATTTCCCGCCAAAACCTCCGCAACTGTAACTTTTTAATAGCCCGAATTGCTGCACTGCCGGCACGTTATAAGTACTTTGAACCTCGTGTTATTTTGAACTTTACGGTGAAGTGTTAGAGATCATTTTCAAATATTCCAACTAGGCTAAAGTTTATGGACACTTTCGATTTCACGAAGGGAGTTGAAACTTCAGCAAAATAACTTCTCTGTTTTGGTATTAATTAAATTGGTCTACAATTCACAAAATCGGAAGCTTCATGACCATATTTTTTTTAAATGCACTTGCATTCATTCTTCTTTTTAGATAGACAGGCCTTTAAGTTTATAAGCGTTTCTTGTATAAATGTACAGTAACGGCCGGTATCAATATTATATCTACTAATAGATTTGGTTACTAGCGATTGATATTTGTCATTAGCTCCATAATACTTCGTCAAAATTCTATCTCCAGTAACCTTATCTATCTGTAGATTGAATTTGAAACCAGGCAGCCGTTAGAAAGCAAATACATGGTTGAATTGAATTGAATTTAAGTGTATATTCACAATTACTTTCCTACTTAAATATAAACCCGCCAATATATCTCTAGAATGCTCCACACAAGCCTTTTAATTTATTTATTCAAAGTACCCGCTCACAGTACAATTCAAGAGACGTCCAAACGAAATTTTGAATTCAGTAAAAATCTTGTTAGAAAAAATAAAAATCTTTCGGTGGTAGGGCCACGCAGCAGCCTCGGCTGTTGCACGAATGGGCAGGCTCGTCCGGTTAAGTACCACGACCTCACAGAAGACTGGCGTAAAGTGGAAGTATAATATTTTCGCGTTTCGTCCGATGAGTCAGGTTGCCGGAGCCCAATTTCCGAAAAAGTTGTCAACGCATCTGCAAACCCTCGGGTGTAGCAGATGTCCATGGGCGGCGGTATTCAATTAACATCAGGTGAACCATCTGCTCGTTTGGCAACATTTCACATAAAAAAAAATCTTGTTAGAAGTTGAGAAATGAGTTTTATGTTTTAGATCACAAATATTAAATAATTATTGAATGCTCCATAACATTTGATTTTAATTCCGCCTAGTGAACAAAATGTGCTAATCCGTTGTTTAATAATAATTAAAAAAAAACGGGCCAATTCAGACTCGCGCTCGAAAGGTTTTGTACCATTATCTATAAAAATGAACAACCAGCCAAGCGCGAGTCGGAGGCGCAAACAAAGGGTTCCGTACCATTATCTATAAAAATGAAAAACCGGCCAAGTGCGAGTCGGAGTCGCACACGAAGGGTTCCGTACCATTATCTATAAAAATGGCAAAAAAAAAAACTTAAATTATTTTTATTACTTTTTTAATAATATACATCATCTGTGAAAAATTTCAACTGTTTAACTATCACAGTTCATGAGATACAGCCTGGTTGCAGGCGGACAGTAT